TCTCCCTATCAATGTCTGATAGAAAGCATTATCTTTTTATGTTTTCTGCAAGCAGATATTATGATTGTCTACTATATTCTTCAAAGTGCCATGTTTTTAATAAAAATTATATATGTATACATTGTTTAACTTAACTGCTTATAGGAGTGAAAAAATGTGATATTCCATTTTTCTAGTGTGGAAAAAAATGTAAGAGGCATTCATGCTATTTTCCCATGATTTTCATATTATAGCAATGGTTTCCAAATCACACAAATTTCTGCACTAAAATGATAATTTTATGAAGTCTTAAGAACTAATTATATAGAAAATTATGTTAGTCACTTACATTGCAACTACTTTCACTAACATTGTTGTACTCCAAGCACACAATAGAGTATTGAAATCAGCTGGTACTAATGAAGTAGCTGAAAAATAAAGTGAGATAGAAAAAAATAAAACCACATGTATGTGAATACTTCCAAAAGAAGAGAAAATAGAGATAAAGTACATACCAGATGTAAGAAATGCTAACAGGAAAATACAAAATTGTGACAAGTAAAAGAATGTATATTGAGTCAGTAATCATCGCTTCACTTAATTACAAAATGTTTACTTCATAGTGCTTGAAATGTGAACTTAGGAACCCACAATAGCCTCTTATCCAGCTTTACTGTGTGAGTAGTTATATAAATAGACACCAATTATCAGGACCTAACTAAAAAGAAGCTGAAGCTTGATAAAGAAGCCCTACTGGTCCTCTTCTCAGACTCCAGAAATGTTTCAGGAGTAGGCCATAATATTTAAGATGAATATGTGACTAGATCAAGTCTGGTGAATCAGTTCCAGATTACAAACACTCAAGTTTTGAGACATTGTTCAGCAGCATCTCAACATCCTGGGATTTCATATCATAGGAGTTCTGATTTCTCTTTTTCTTTGGAAAACAGCAGAATAGTTCCAATATAGAGTTCACCTAGTTCATCTACAACAGTCATTCAAAACTCTTTAGCTCACTTAGGTTGCCTTAGGTCAATGTATATGGGGAATGTTCAGTGTCACTATTATTCAAATAAATGTTAGACTATAAGCTTCATAAGGGCAAGGATCTTTACCTGCTTTGGTTACTAATTTATCCCTAAGGCCTGGAACAGTACCTGAAATAATTTAAGTGTTCAAAGAATAATATTCAGTCTTACAAAACATGTTTGAAGCAGATGAGTGATGCCACTGTAGAAATATTTTACTCTGAGTAGAGAAGGATTCCTATCATTTCCAGCTGAAATATATTTTCTTGCTAAAATAATGTTATTAAAGGAGTCACTGGTATTTGCAAATTAAACAAATAAAGACTCAACTGAAAATCAATATCATTCTATGATTCTATAATAATGACTGAGAAATTACCATGTAGAATAGAACACCTTCATAATTTGAAAATTGACCAGTCCATTATTTTACAACTATCACTTGACCCTAACAACAAAAGGAAAACAGTGTGACTAAACAGTTCAAATAGAATGGCTGGTCCTATTACTTTAGCAGCTTGTTTTAGCAGTTTTGAAACTTTGCCATCTTTCTCTGAACAGTAGAAGCCAACTATTCTAAGAAATAGAAAATATTAACTTACTCTGTACAAATTGAATAAGCTTTCTAGAGTTCTGAACATTATTCCTAAATTTCTAAAACATGAAATAATTCTAAGAAAAAGACAAGAATACTGTACTGATATTATTTCTTATTGCTATTCTGGCAGTTCTACATTGATTCCTGTAAATACCTCAATCTGGCCAGAACTTCACTGCTAAAGTGAAGTCACAATTAACATTTTCCCTAGAGAAATGCAAGCAAAAGAAAATATTCTCTCCTGAATTATCTAAGCTAATTATTTGAGTGGCTGTATTTTACCAAAACATCCCCCATATTGCTGGTTTTACAATTAGTTAGAATGAGCTGTCCTTGAAACAGAACAATTATCTCCAATTTGATAATTTAATTTGTATACCCAGAATAATTCACATCTGTTTAAATTTTAAAAATATGAAAACAATTTTGATTCATAAGAGGTTAACCAATCAGCAAGTTGACTGTTTATATATTAAATGCTTATACCGTGAGCTTACTGAAGACTATATGTTGCAGCTCAAATGCAAATGGCTTCCTATTTAATATTACTTAAAATACTTTATATTTGGATTTAATTTTTAAGAAATCGCTCTTGGGTATGTAAGAGATGATAAGTATTCTAATTTTAAAAAATCAGTTGTTATATTTCTAGAAAGAAAAAGACCAACCACAGCACATAATATATGTAGGGTTGCTTGATACCTAGGTTCTTAAACTAAAAAGAAACATTTAAAATATAAAAGTGTGTGACTAGTTGTTTTTCATTTTAACAATAGCCTTAAATTTAAATGAGTGGAATTAGTTGATTAAGAATGCAAATATTTTTAAAACTTTTCTATATCTCTTTATAAAACATAAAAATTCTTTAAAAAGTGTGAATAGTCTCTTTTTAAATTTTATGAACAACTCTACTTCCTCCTCTACATTTCATCAACTAAGATTGACCCAAAGATAACCCTGCTGTCACCAAATCTTTCTTTTTTGTCATCTTCCTGTTGGGTAAAACATAGGAGGAAAATAAATCATGTGACGCAAGGCACCGATACATTTTAATTAGTCTTCAGGCATTTACCTTGGGTGTTCTCTACAGTTGAGAAGCCAACTCAACCTGCCAAGCACAACCCAGCAGGCACAAGGAAAGGTAATTATATTGAAACACCCAGAGAGAATGATTCTTTTTTCACACTAGTTATTAATAACACCACCAAAGTTATTCTAAAAGTACTTTTTTTTTCCTTTCAGCGTTTATTGTTAAGCTTGAATATGTCTTGGCATCATTTTGAGATGTTTCTAATTTAAACCTTAGGCTTTGTACGGTGCCATGATCAAATTTATTTTTAGCTTTACTTTTGGTTAAAGTCAAGGTTTGATACTGGCTAAACTACTAAAGACAACATAAATTCTAAAGAAGGTGTTCAAGACAATGAAGCTTTTCCTACAGACAAATGGAAAGAGCTAACTTCCCAAGAAGATGGGCATGTAATAATAATCCAGATGGATTCCTTAATTCATTTCAATTTTATTTCTATCTAAATGTCATAACTTTATTTGCTATAATATAGCTATTGTATTAAGATATGCCTTTCATAGCCTCATAAAAGCTGACTAGTTCTACTGTTTCACAAGTTTACCAAATGATGAAGGCAATTTTAAGTACTCATTGGTTTAAGTAGCTGATAATTTAAGTATGGTCTTATCTCTCTAATTTCTGTTTATGCCGAAAAAAGCAGAATGACTATCATTTTACCGAATGTTCATGTGTGTGTTATACAACTTTGTGTAAATTAAAATTTTGTGTAATTCACCATGGAAATATTATTGTCCCATCTATAATCTTAAAAGTTAACTGGTGATTGTCTATATTTACCATACTATATTTTAATCATTAAATTTGTTAAGAGATTAGATCTTAATTATTCCAATCACAAAAAAAGAAATGATAGTTATGTGATGTGATAGAGGTGCTAATTACGAATACAATGTCGGTCATATTACAATATATAAATGTATCAATCAACATGCCATACACATAAGTTTACACAATGTTATATGTCAAATATATTTTAACTGAAAAAAAATTAACTGGCAAATGAAGAATTAATAAAGAACTTCATCCTTCTCAATAAAACTTGAGTTTGGTATGGGTCTTTCAAATCTATTCCACATGAGTTCCTTTCCATCCAATGATATCCTATCAGTGGTTCCAAGGTCAACTTAGTAGACGGCCTTCCTAATCATTATTACCTAAGAATCAGAGGCAAATGGAGTCTGGTATGCTCCCTTCCCCCTGACCTGGACTTTAACTCCGTGATCTTTCTCTGTAAAACTCAGTTCATAGTATTCAAGTCTATACAAGTATGGTGTCTCAATAGCTGCAAAAAATATATAGTTAGTACTTACTTTACAGGTACATTATGTACTTAAATATTAAAAGTCTGAATGTTGTATGTATCTTTCTGAAAAGACAATTCATTTAAAAAGAATCAAATAAATGGGTGTGACAATCTCATACTCCTTTAGAAATATAAAGCAAATTTATTTCTTTAAATTTTTCAGATAAAGCCACTATAATTGTCATATCTATATTTCTTATTAAAACAATCACATTAATCATGTTATTTATGATTATCAAAAATGGAAATTATGAAGATATCAGTTTTGGAATATTTCCTTCCCTTCCATCTTACATATTTCTGTTAGATCAACCACTCAACTGGTTTTGATTATTTAGAAAGCCATGCCTAACTAACCCTTTAACCTGGCATTTAAGGCTTCTCTCTGCCCTAAACTTTCTTTCTAACTTTATCTTCCCTTTCCCATAAAACACTCCATTCAAAACGTCCATCTATGAATAGTCCCAAGACTTTCTCCTCTACTTGAAAAGTTTCTCTATAAATCTCTGCAGAGATAAGTCCCACCTATATGCTATCTCCTACACAAAGAATTTGTTGATTTTTTAACAAATCTTTTATCTGTAGAAAACTACTTTTGTGGCATTTCCACTTTCTTTTCTCTTTTATTGATTTGTGTATATTATGTCTTCCTAAAATTGATGCTGCTTGTTGGCAAAAGCAATTCACTCTGATAATCTCAACACATGACTTAGGAACTTGCTCTTAGTAGATACTTAGTATATAGTAAATAAATAAACGATTGATCTTGTAATGATATTTTCAGTAATATAGCCAAAAATTAAATTCATAAATTTTATACTCCAAGTTTGTTTTTTTTTTTAAAAGCTTTTGATAAAATAGGTTTTCTACATTGGCTAAATCTACCTATAAATCTGGATTTCTTTTTTCTTAAAGTAAAGTAAGTATTGTTCCAAATCACTCTTAAATCATTAGTAATAGATCCTTTTAACAGAACATTTTTAATTTCTATTTTTAGGTACAATGATGAGATTTTTCCTAGTTGTGAATATCTTGGCATTAACCCTGCCTTTTTTGGTGAGTTAATTTCATCTGATCAATTTGTAAATACTTTAAGAAATTTCATTTAAGGGCCCTAATTATGAAAATTTCTAAATACAGTTTATAGAACAAAATAGCTGCATACTAGCTATATTTTCTTAAAAGTAACTTATTTTTATATGTATTTTTATTATAAAATGAAAGCTTGTTCTTTGGAATATCCTTCTAGTTCCTAGGATTTAGGAAATCATACTTTATCACATATAAAAAACATTTAAAATTCTCATACTATAGAGAAAATACATTCTGGGGAAAAAATTCTAAAAATATTTTAAAATTATACAAAGTTCTAAAACTAATTTATTGAGGATAATACAGAAATCACAGTCCAGGATCAGAACTTTTAAAAATTAAATTCCTATCTCACACATACTCCAATTTCTTTAGGGACTAAATCCTTAAAAGATTAGGAAGAGCTTGTTTAAGTTTGTTTACAAGTTTCAAAGACCTTGACACATATACTTTTAACTTTCAAACATTATCAGATCTTTTCT